GAGTTCAAGGGATCCTCCTACCTAAGCTGTGACTACGGGTGCATGCCACCATGCCAGGCAAATTTTTTTGTGGAGACAGAGTCTCTCTATGTGCTTAGGCTGGTCTCAAACTCTCAGCCTCAAATGATCCCCCTGTCTCAGCCTCCCAAAATGTTGGGATTACAGGTATGAGCCATCGCACCTAGGACCATTCACTTATATAAGCTAATATTTCTGATCATTTATAATATTCCAAGTGCTGATAAAAGTGCTTCATATGAATTAAATTATTTTTAGCGTGGGCAACATAGCAAGACCTTATCTGTACCCCCCCCCAAAAAAAAATTAGCCAGGAGTAGTGATGTGTACCTGTAGTCCCAGCTACTCAAGAGGCTGAGGTGGGAGAATTGCTTGAGCCCAGAGGTCAAGGCTGTAGTGAGTTGTGATCATATCATTGTACTCCAGCCTGGGTGACAGAAAGACACTTTGTCTGTAAAAAATAAAAAGTAAAAGAATTAAACGATTCCCAAAAACCCTATGACATTTGTGTTATTATTATTTCAATTTCACCGGTAAGAAAACTGAGAAGACAGAGAGGTTAAATCTCTTTCCTAAAGTCACGGAACTGGTAAGTGTTATACGGAGACTTGAACCTGAAAATCTCTTCTCTCAGGAAGTTGCCATCAGGCTGCCAGCCTGTGCTGCAGGCGTCTCAAGTCTTGGCTGAGGTTGAGAATTGGTTCCCAGGATCATGCCCATAGTTGTCAGCAGGCCTCTGTTCTTTGCTCCCTGTCAGCTGGCGGCCTCCATTCCTCACCACGGGAACTTATTTTATTAATGAGTTTAAAAATGAGATCATGCTATGTAGGCTTTTTTTTTCCACTTTGCAACATATTGTAACTATTTTGCCATGTAACTAAACATATTTCTAGCCATCGTTTTTGAAGGCTTTGGATGCAAATTGCCGGCTTGAAAAGGCAGAGATCCTTTAGGCAAATCAGCTAAAATATAGTGAAATATTCTCTCATTTTATCTTTTTAAATTTATGCACTAAAATAAGAAAACTTCATTTCCTGTTGTGGCTAGAGACTTCTTTGAGTCACTACTATAACAAAGTGAAATTTGTGTTTTTACTGGACAGCAGAGTTTTTTTCTATCACTTATTACTATATACTAATATTTATCTTCATTTTTGTAGTTACAAGACAAAACTTACAAAACTTGAAATTCTACAAAAGCTAAATATTCTTTCTTTGGTGCTAAATATAAAGATATGCAAGTAAGCATGAATTATTCATTAGTGTAGTAACAAAAATATTCTCAGTAATTCAAAATTTACTGCTGACTTGTCAGAGTTATTACAGTTCTATTTTTGTAAGGTGTTGTGATAGTGCTGGGTAGCAGGAAATTACTCACCATTTCTGAGTTTTACACAGAGACATCCTCTTAGAGGCTCATTGTTATTTGTTTGTGGGAAGAAAACCGTGAGAGTAGCTTTGCATTGATGGTTTCGTACGTCATGGTGTATGTGAAATTGTCTTAAGAGAGCCCCATGCCAGTTGTCATTACAAACACAGATTCTACACCTTGGGGAAAAGGAAGCTGGTAAGATGTATACCTTCAAACTGATGTTTAGGGCAAGAGAACACTTCAGAGAAAGTTAATCCCAGTAGCGGGTATCTAAAGAGAACTAAAACATGAAAAGCAACAACAATGAAGCTATTTCAGGTAGAACTAATTTCTAAATGAAGCAAATTCTTCATTTTGCTGGTTAAAAATGAAGGTTCTCTCTTTTTAGCTGTAAGAATAAGAAGGGTATAATATTGTAGGGCTTCCTGGTATATCACTCCTTAGGGTATTAGTTACTTGTTTTACACTCTTTATGTTGATGGAGTATAATAAAAACTGATGACAGAAGATCACGATTGCATTCTATTCCATATTTTCCACCAGTACTGTTCTGAAAGAAAGAAGTGAGTTTTCCCTAAATGTTAGTCTAAATCTGCAATGATTTTTTGATTTGGTGTCGCTTCTTAAATCCCTGCAGTGGAATACTCTTTGGGGGTCGAATTATACTTTGTGAAGAATATCTCTCATAAACCAAGCCACTTAATTAAATCAGTGTACGAAATATAAGTCAGAGAGTTATTCTAGGAAGTTTTGATAGTTTCAGGACAGGCTCTGGGATTTAACTCTGTGTCCTACTAATTCTTCTTTTTAACAACTGGGCTTAGGATAGAATCTGGTATCAAGTGATGAGATCTATATACTATACATTGTTATGAACGTTACAGTTGACTACTAAGAATTTGTGACTTTGGGGAAATAAATGGCAGGTTTTATTTTTGTTTAGAAGGAAGTCCAGTCTAATTACTCTTGATAATAAACACCACATCACAGAACCGTTTCCATTTATTCAGTTGCTTGACGTGTCACAGGTAGCCACTTATAAGCACTAAACACATCAATATAAAAATAAAGCTTTATTTAAAGCTGGCCTTAAGTCTAGAGCGATTTTAACATTTTATTACTTTAATTAAGCTAAAATACATAATTTAAATAACTATAAAAAGTTAATTAATGGGTGAATAGCAAATGGTCCCAAACAATGCTTGAGCGGTTTCCATATAATCAAGCAATTATACACAATAGAGAGATACACATGCAGGAAAATCTATGTATTTGGATATTTTTCTACATGTTACTTTATGAATTATTCTCTGAGATTAGTCATATTCAAAAGATATACTTACAATCATTTTAATATTTCAAAGGTTAGTGAAAGTCCTTGAAAGTAAAAGTTTCAAATGCACAGGTACTTAAATTTTGTCTCCAGGCAAAGTATTTACATCAACAACACTTCTAGTTAATAGTTGGGGCTTTCCAAAAGAGAACTCATCAGTGTTTCCATTGTTTCCATTTTTAAAGGGCTTTAAAAATCAGAGACTGTGTTTTTCAATTTTCAAGGAGCATGGTTCAGGCTTGCAGGGAGTGGGGGAAGCGGGAGGGCTTGTGACAAAGCATTCTGTGCTGTGCGGCCAGCTGCAAACAGGACAGTTTCTGCAGCCTATTATGACAGCCCTCACTGCCAGGAGAGGGCGGACAGGCAGAGACTGCCTGCCTCGTGGAAGTATGTGATGCCTTCACTGCTGCCCAGGTTTAGGTTTTATAGTAGATGCTTCCTATTTGCTGGGTGACCCTTATGCAAACAATCCTTACAACAAGCTCTCAGAGGAACAAATTGTATTTTTTTTAAGTAATACCTTAACATCTGACTTCAGTTTGTTCCTTTCTTTCTCTCTTCCATTCTGTTTATACTATAGGTTGGTGCAAAAGTAATTGCAACTTTTACCTTCACTTTTTTTTTTATTATTGTTGAGATGGGGTCTCACTCTGTCACCCAGACTGGGTTGTAGTGGTGCAGTCCTGGTTCACAGCAACCTCCGCTTCCCAGGTTCAAGGAATTCTCTTGCCTCAGTCTCCAAAGTAGCTGGGAGTACAGGCACCATGCTCAGCTAATGTTTCTATTTTTAGTAGAGATGGGGTTTCATCATGTTGGCCAGGGTGTTCTGGAACTCCAGACCTCAGGCAATCCACCCGCCTTGGCCTCCCAAAGTGCTGGGATTACAGGCATGAGACACTGTGCCCAGCTTTGCCTTTACTTTTAATAGCAACACCGCAATTACTTTTGCACCAACCTGACATATAGTCTATTCTGCAAATTAGTTCAAAAGCTCGACATATAAGAACGAGTTGTACCTATATAAAATAAGCATTTCTTTGTTTCCTAGTAGTGGGAGAATGCTGAGGGTTCTTCAGGAAGAAATTTCCTTTATTTGGTAGTTATGCTCTCTTTGCAGAATGAACTCATTTTCCCTCAGCTATATGCAAGCCATATTTTAAATTTTCCATCAAAATATAACTCTGGGAAAATTCATGACTAATTTATTCATCACAGGCACTCCCTGTTAAACGAAACTACAAATTAAATGAAATTAGAAAGGAAATCACACAAATTGAAGTAGCACTGGACTGGAAATTGGGAAACAGCCTCCAGTTCCGGTTGTACAACTTTCAAGGCATGTGATCTTGATTCACTCGATCTTGAGTGGATTTCATTTCCCACACATCATTTATGTGTGTGTGTGTGTGTGTGTGTGTGTGTGTGTGTGTGAATGAATATATTTGACAAATATCAATGAAATCTCATCAATATACTGATATAATCAATATATATTTATCAAAATAAATATTTATAAATACTGTGAGTGTGTGTATAATATATACATATGCATTCACATACATGTATAATATATATGAATAATACAAGAATGAAACATATAGAAAATGTAAAGTTACTATATACGTGTTTACACACACACACACACACACACACACACACAGACACGCACACGTATTTTAACAGGTTTTCTCCTGTATTTGCTTAGGGTGTCCATCTGGGTTCTAGACATCAATTGTGGGCCTGAGTTTTTCTGTCTTGGATGGATTACCCAGGGGATGAAGGTCACGAGTGCCAGACACAGGCCTTTGTCAACTGTTTGACGCAATAGAAGTTATACTTCTATAAAGTATAATAGATGTTATACTTTCAATATTATAAGTTCTTAGAAATATATATATTTAATGTTCATGTCATGCAGATTTAAGCTCAGCCAAAAGTTCTTTAAAGGGACGATATCCCTTATAGAAAAGTATAATTTTACATGTTCACTTCCTCAGATTAGAGACTCAGAAAGCAAAGCCCAGAGAACTAGGCACAGGCTCTGCGTGCTGGTTGACTTTGCTTTCATGACGTTAGATTTACACACACAGACGGTGGCCAGTGATGTTCCAGGCGTCTCAGCCATCAGCAGGGGTCCCGGGGGACTGTCCTCCTGACCAGGACCCCACAGTGGGGTTTCTTTCCGAGGGTCCCGCCCCTCGCAGGATAAAGCGCAGGGGAACAGGCCTGGCTGCTCCCGGAGTCCCCGGGTCCCTTGAGCGCCCGGCGTGTTGCAGGTATGGGGTGCGGCGCCAGCAGGAAGGTGGTCCTGTGGCCGCCCGCCCTGGCCAGTGCCAAGCACGAGGGTCAAAGCCAAGGCGGCGTCGGAGGCGCGGGGCCCGGGCCCAAGGCGGCGGCCCAGGCGGCACAGAGGATGCAGGTGGCTCGCTTCCGAGCCAAGTTCGACCCCCGCGTCCTTGCCAGGTAAGAAACTGGCCTGGGGATGGGCTGACAAAGATAACCCCCTGGCCAAGACTGCCTCCAGGTTTCCTTCAGCTTGACTCCTTTTCGGACAGGGTTCTTTTGGATGATAGGCCACTAATCTCCCCTTTTCTCTGCCCCTTTGATTGTAAAACTTCTACAACCCAAATGTGTCTTTTTCAAGCATCTGGGATCCATCCCTTTGAAATGCAGTCATCAAGAGAATTAGGGCCATTGTCTTTCAGTGTCTGCGCGATGGTAGGAACCTAACTTCCCTAAGGGCCAGGTAGCAAACACAGACCGCATTGACCACCTCTCCCTAACCTTCTCCCTCTTTTTCCACTAGCTCACCCCAGCGCTAAAACACTTTCTCGCCTTTTGTTCCAAGCCTCCATTCTTTCCCCTGTTGCAGAAGCCTTGACCCCTATTGCAGTAGTCTGGGATAAGCCTTCCGCACTGTGTTCCATAAGCACCCAAAACCATTTCTCTTTGACATCTGAGCAGGGAGTGTAGAGGTTGGGAAAAAGAGAGCAGGAGCAACAGCAAAAACGGGAAGGAATTCTTGTCTTCAGAGGTGGTGGGTGGGGGTGTGAGAGGACTGCCTGCCAACCTCTAGCACCAGTGGCAGAAAACGGCTTTGCCACCAATATCTTGGGGCTAGGTCTCGCTAGACCTGGTGTGTGAAGGATCTTCTATTAAATTCTAAAAATCGAGATTACAGTGAGTGGACTAGAGATGGCCCTTTGAGCCAGTTAGACTTGAGGTCCAGTCCCATCTCTTCTGTCATGTACCATTTAGAACACAGCTTTTCTCCTTCCTTAGTTTCTGCCTCTGTAAAATGGGAGTATCTCATCAGACTGTTGTGAGCATAATTAAACTAATACACGTAAATTTTGCACCTTGCATGGCACCAGTCCTTATGCAGATATTAGTGCAATGCTGATTATTGCCTTCATGAAGTACAAGTAAGTCCTTGCTGACTCTATGTAGAAGGTTGCAGGTTGGTTGGCCTGAGAAATAATTTCCTTAGAGTACACCATGTTGGACACATTGGCCAAGTCAATCACAGAATCCCCTTCTGCTCTGTGTGTTTGGGAAGACACAATAATGGGTGGCTCAGAGGGCTTCCCAGGGCACTTCTGGTCCTAGAATTGCATACTGACTTCATCACAGCGCTCTGTCCAGAATATGCAGAATCATTTCCTGGCCTCCTTGAGAACTTTTAATACAATGACTCCTGGAGGATTAGTCCAGTAGCTGCTGAGCTTAGAGAAGAATGAGGCCAGCTAGTATGACTGAACTGAATCTGAGTAGGTACAGGGTCTTGTCAAGACTGAGCTGGTTAAATGGCATTTCTGGTCATCTCTAATCAGAGAGATGATGCTAGTCTGCTCTAGTCTTTATTTACCCTCCTAATTCCCAATTATGGGGTAGATCCAGCCCCATGGACTGTAAAGCGATCACAGAAACGGAGGACCTCAACATTACAAGGGCTTCAGAGACTTTATCTCAAGGCTCATCTTTAACCAATGAGTAGTTGCGTCCCCAAAGGTTAAGTGACTTGTCCAAATTAATGGTGGAAGTAGGACTAGAATACAGCTGACTTTCTTCTCCGTTGTGATTTCATCTATACCTTTTGCAGAAAAGAGACGATAGAATTTAAATATGAGTATATTTACTTTCTTTTTGGGAGTTTATTACAATTGCTTCTCTCAAACAGATTGTGATACCATTATTTCCGTTTCACATCTTTAATCTATGTTCAAAAATCCCCAGTTTGTGTAATAGCAGTTGAGGTTAAAGTAATTTTTCCAATTTACGTAGTCTCTGGGATGATACGAAATTGCCCCACCTACTAAATTGACTTTGAGGCTACTCTTTTAAGGGAGTGGAGGGGTAAAAGTGAAGGAAATGGAAAGATCTTATAAATGCGTTCTTCCCTGCTTGATGCGATCCTTACTTAATGTTTTCAAAATATATACGATGATTCAGGAATAATATGTATCCAGTGAATGATTCTTTTGTTCAATGTTTATTGTTACTCCTTTGTAATAGGCACTTTACAAGGTATAACCACGCAAATCATAAAGATAGTCACCATTCATGGCTATTGGGGACTCACGAGCAAGGCTGCAGCTATAAGAATTTGTTATGTGATGAACTAAATAACAATCTAAGGCATTTATTTACACCACTTTAAATCTTGGCTTAAAGTGTACTGTTTCCTCCAATGCCAAATTACTAGTATTTTTTTTTCAAATATTGGAAATATGAAGCCCCCTTAACAGTATTGAATAAAGCTTCTTTTATTTGAGCAAAAGAGTGTAATTCTCAGAAATGGTAGTTTGTTTGATATAATTAATTCTGTGAACAAATGAGTTTGATGGCAGCTTTGAGGGCATGGTGATAAATTAGCATTTGCAAGTGCTTTCATCCACAATAGAGTTAATATAAAACTTGGTTGGTCTGCAGAGCAATAAAATTTGAAATGCCTGTGATTATCTTCAAATCACACTGGGAATGCATGTGAATGAAAAAGCAGAGTTGGAAAGGGAAAAGGGGAAAGAATCTATTTAAGATTACTAAAGTGCTATCTGTTTTGATAAGGTAATTGGCCAGAAAATTAAATGCTCTGTGGAGAACAAAGCTGTTTTCTGTCATCTGATACAGCCAAATGTCATTTTTATTCAATACACACGGGAATATAAGGAACAAACAAGAAGACCAAAAAAAAAAAAAAAAAAAAAGTTACAGGAAAAATAAGCTCAACAAAAGAAGTAAGACTATTTAGAGCAGAGGTTGGTTTTTGCATTTGAATCTTTGGTATTGAATATGTGATATAAAAACTTGCCTTCTCCCTGGAATGTACCCCTCTGAGTACACTGCATTCTCTGTCATCCTTAGCCAGGAGAGGTTTTATTAAAATGAAGTCTGGGAGCCGTGGCTCATGCCTGTAATCCCAGCATTTTGCGAGACCCAGAAGGGCAATCACTTGGGGTCAGGAGTTGGAGACAAGCTTGGCCAACATGGTGAAATCCTGTCTTTACTAAAACAAACAAAAATACAAAAATTAGCTGGGTAATCCCAGCTACTCAGGAGGCTGAGGCAAGAGAATCACTTGAACCCAGGAGGCAGAGGAGCCAAGATCATGACACTGTACTCCAGCTTGGGTGACAGAGCAAGACTCCATTAAAAAAAAAAGAAAAAAGGAAAAGGAAAAAGCAGTAAATTACGGCATAGGTAAGGAGACCTGTGTTCTAATCCTGACTCTACAATGTAAACAGCCAATTGACTAATGTGTTCTTCAAATTTCCTCAGGTAAAACAAGAAGTTGGGTTAAATACCCAACTTCAATATTCTTCTCAGTTGTAAAATCATGATTTTAAGTCTAGCATTTTCTCAACATGTCTTAAATATGAAGTAGAGGGTTAAATTTGATAGGATTCATTTTTAATTTTTGTTTTTAATTTTTGAGACAGAGGTCTCACTCTGTCACCCAGGCTGGAGTACAGTGGCCTGATCACAGCTCACTGCAACCTCAAATTTCCTGGGCTCAAGGGATCCTCCTGCGTCAGGCCCCCGAGTAGCAGGGGCTACAATTGTGCACCATGGCTGGCTAATTTTTTTTTTTTTTTTTTTTGATGGAGTTTCGCTCTTGTTACCCAGACTGGAGTGCAATGGCGCAATCTCGGCTCACCGCAACCTACCTCCGCCTCCTGGGTTCAGGCAATTTCCTGCCTCAGCCTCCTGAGTAGCTGGGATTACAGGCACGCGCCACCATACCCAGTTAATTTTTTGTATTTTTAAGTTTACTGTAGAGAAGGGGTCTCACTTTGTTGCCCAGGCTGGTCTCAAACTTCTAGGCTCAAACAATCTTCCGACTTCAGCCTCTCAAAGTGCTGGGATTACAGGATGAGCCACCGCACCTGGTCAGATTCTTAAATTTTAGTAGATGTTTACACAGGTAATTAAAGCTTAAGATTCTTAGCATTTGAAATCTGAGCTGATTTCCTGACCTTTTTTTTTTTCTTCAACTTTTATTTTACGTTCAAGGGTACACTTACAGAATGTGCATGTTTGTGACACAGGTAAACATGTGTTCTTGCCTTTTTGTGGGATAATTGGTTTACAAATTATTGACATATATTCCACGTTAAAATTCTTTCACTGCCTAGAAATTGCAAGTGCAGGAGAGAGAATGGAGGGAGACTGTGAGAAGCTGCTGATTGCGACTAGCCCCACCAGACCTCTGAAACCTGCTCTTATAATAGCACAGCTGCATTTACTTCTTCCTTATTAACAGCTACTGTGTACAAGATGAGCCCGGGGCTGAGCTCACAGTCAAGCAACCCAAAGAAACATACTGTTTATTCCCCGTCTCCTGATACGGGATCCTCTGTCTTTTGAGAAATTATAAATAGGAATAAGCTTCTACTTTATTCCCCCCAACTTGATTTGTTTGTTGTTGACAAAGGCTAGAGGAAGGAAAGAAATTGGTAGAGAGGGGTCTTAAAATTCTTGAAACATTCTTTTGTGAAATGCATTTGAATGGGACAGGATTTGAATCCCATCCATTCCAACCACAATCTGTGTGGCTTCAATAACTCACTTAACTTCTTTTTAAGTCTTAATTTCCTTATTTGAAAAGGAGGGATGTTATTATATTACCCAGCAGGGTTTTAGTAGGGATAAGATTTTTTTTTAATTGTTGGCATATAATAACTGTATAATAAATGGTAGTTATTATATTAAGATTGTCTTTCTACTAACAAATTACCTTTATGTCATTTTCTTCCATTTCAAAACAGGATTTGGGGCACCTTTCAAAAATGATGAACGCAAGTAATAATAAGCAAAGAAATCCAATGGGAGGAATAGGAAGATAGAAAAGATGATATGAAGCATGGGCTTAAATAATTTTGAGAATCATCACTTCTGGTGATAACATGTTTGGTTTTTCTTCCCAACAGATATGACATCAAAGCTCTCATTGGGACAGGCAGTTTCAGCAGGGTTGTCAGGGTAGAGCAGAAGACCACCAAGAAACCTTTTGCAATAAAAGTGATGGACACCAGAGATAGACAAGGTAAAGAAGCGTGTGTGTCTGAGCTGAGTGTGCTGCGGCGGGTTAGCCATTGTTATATTGTCCAGCTCATAGAGATCTTTGAGGCTGAGGATCGAGTTTACATGGTGATGGAGCTGGCTACTGGAGGGGAGCTTTTTGATCGACTCATTGCTCAGGGATCCTTTACAGAGTGGGATGCTGTCAGAATCCTCCGGATGGTTGCTGATGGGATTAGGTATTTGCACACACTGCGAATAACGCACAGGAACCTAAAGCCTGAAAATCTCTTATACTATCATCCAGGTGCAGAGTCGAAAATATTAATTACAGATTTTGGTTTGGCACACTCTGGGAACAAAAGTGGTGACTGGACGATGAAGACATTCTGTGGGACCCCAGAGTACATAGCTCCTGAGGTTTTGCTAAGGAAGCCTTATACCAGTGCAGTGGATATGTGGGCTCTTGGTGTGATCACATATGTTTTACTTAGCGGATTCCTGCCTTTTGATGATGAAAGCCAGACAAGGCTTTACAGGAAGATTCTGAAAGGCAAATATAATTATACAGGAGAGGTAAGATAGCCTTATTTTATTCCTATTGTGTTGCTTTACAGTGGGGTTTCTCTACCTTGCCACGTTTGACATTTAAGACTGGATGATTCCTTATTGGGGTTTGGGGTTATCCTGTGTGCTGTAGAATGTTTAGCGGCATCCCTGGCCTCTACCCTAAATACCAGTAATGCACCTCCCCCAGTTGTGGCACCCACAAATGTCTCCAGACATTGTAAAATGTTCCCTGTGGGGTAGAATCACCCCTGACTGAGAGCCATTGGTCTCAAGATAGCAAGGGCCTCAATTACTAGCTGCCTGTGGTTAGCACGTAACACTGACAATCAAGTAGATAAATGAGTTTGTCTGCAGTTTTTTTCTTAAATCTGTGTGGAGCCTGAGCTGGCTAACTAGACTAATATGTTCACAGAAGCTCAGCATGACGCTTGGATGTTTGGCGAGAGATTTTTCTGCCTTAAATCTTGGTGATCCAAGCCCTTTTTGTGATGAAGTGTTTTCTCAGGAAATGTTTAACCTCACAGCTTGTGTAAAATATTTATCCACTGATTAAACTTGAAACTCCCAGTGTTCATGAATGTGTTAACTTTTTGCTGTTTTGGGTAGGGAAGGAAAGTTGTCAATGCTTGTATATGGGAAGCCTGACAAAATAGGGAATTCATTTCATGTACAGCAAATGAGCAAATTTATTTGACTTTTAATTTCTCATAAAAAAATTGATATTTGCTTATACCTACTTAAAATATAACATGTATATCTACAGCAACATCTTTAAGCAAAATTAAAGTTAAATGACAAATTTAAATATGCATTCTACAGTCTGGCAGACCTTTAGTACCTTATTGTACGTGTGTATGTTTTTACAAACTCATACAAATACTAAAACTCACACCAGGAAATAGAAAAGGATGGGAAAAATTTACAGACAATGCAGTACCACTGATTATTAAAAGTATGACAAATATCCACCCTCATTAAGACCAAAGAAATGCTAATGAACAAAAAATGCCTTTCAAATTCATAAAGATTTAAAAAAACTAAATGTTACTCAATGCTGTGAAGAGTACTGAGAGATTAGTCCTCTCAGAACTAGTAAAGGACAAATTGTCACGGGTTTCTTGGAAAGTAGTTCGAAAATATGACTCTAGAACTGTATTAGTTCATTTTTCACACTGATATAAAGAAATATCCAAGACTGGGTAATTTATATTAAAAAAAGATTTAATTGTCTCACAGTTCTGCATGGCTAGGGAGGCCTCAGGAAATTTACAATCACGACGGAAGGCCAAGGGGGATCAAGCTTGGACCTCCTCACATGGCAACAGTAAAGAGAAAAGGGGAAAGAGCCCTTTATAAAACCATCAGGTTTTATGAGAACTCATTCACTATCACGAACACAACATGGGGGAAACTGCCCCCATGATCCAATCACCCCCATTTGGTCCCCCCTAGACACATGGGAACTTACAATTTGAGATGAGATTTGGGTGGGGACACACAGCCAAACCATATCAAGAACTTTAAAAAATTTATGGATTTTGATCTAATAATTCAATTTGTAAGACTCTAAGAAAGTAATCCCAGATGCAGCAAAGGTTTCGGTGTAGGAGTACTAATCTGAGCTACATTTACAAATGTAAAGAATTGAAAGAGTCCTGAGAGAATGCTTGAATAAATTACAGATCATCCATATGATAGAGTGTGATAGTCCCCAATTTATGCACATTTAAAAAGTGTAATGACAACGGAAAATTTTCACAATATCCTGTCAAGTGGAATAAAAGCAGAATATAAACTGTGTGTACACTATGATCACATTCGTGTGGGAAATGTTTGCATGGGAAAAGGCTAGAAGGAAATACAATAGAATGTTCACAGGGCTTGTCTCCTGGTCTGGTGATTTGGATCATTTTGGCTTTCTTTATAGCTTGAATATCTTGGTATTTCTGTTTTTGCTTCGTTTACAAAGGATATGTATTTCTGTTTTGGTTATCTACCACTGCATAACAAACCATTCCAAAACCTAGTGGCTTCAAACAGTCATCACTTTTTTATGATTCATGAATCTGTGGTTGATGAGACAGCTTGTGACTCTTCTGTGCCACATGATGTGGGGTGGAGTCATCTGGGGGCTTGACTGGGATGGAATATCCATGAGGGCCACCCTCAAATGTCTGGCATCTTGGTGGGGATGGCTGGAATCTGGGTTCAGCTAGATCACTGGGACGCCTAGGCCTTTCTCTCTTCTTCTCTCTCTATGTGTCTCTGGCTCTCTTCCTACACGGGTTTGTTCATGTGCTTTCTCCAGCAGGGCAGCCAGATTTCTCACATGGCAGCTGAGGGAAGGGGATATTCCAATAGGGAGCTATGGAAGTTGCCAGTCCTCTTCAAGGCTAAACTTGGAAACAGCAGAGCTCCACATCTGCCCCATTCTGTTGGTTACTGAGTCCCATGCCAGCCATGATTCATACTGAGGGGAACTACACAGAGTGTGATATTGGGGGTGTGGTCCATTGGGGACATATTTAGACTAGATATCGTAATTACTTTTTAATGTGAACGAGTAATAAACAATATAAAATATTTTCTGTTAAAAAGTCCTTTTGTTAGGTTTAATTCAGAGAGTTCCTAGGGTCAGTTTCCCCAGAAGCAACCCTGAGAAGAGGAGTCATGTACAAGTGATTTATTATGGATAGTCTCCTGGGGAGGAGACAGGTAAGGAAGTGAGGGGAGAAGGACAAGGAAGGTGAAGAGGCCAAGGCCACAGAGGGTAGGCCTTAATCAGCAGGGGAGATATTAATACTTCTAAGCATTTTCCAGAGGTTGATGAGCAGGGTTTTCACACCATACCTAGCTGCTGGTCACTGGGGTTGGTAATGGTGGTAAATTCTCAGGCCCTCTGAGGTCAAGGCAGAGTGACTCCTTGAGCCCCAGGGCAGTCTGCTGAAAAAGAGCGAGGGTCTGGGTTTTAGAAGCAAAGCACTTCAAAGGAGGGGTGTGTGCATGCATACAGGAAGGAGGGGCCCAGGGTCTAGATGGAGCACTAACAGTATCTCCATGGTTAGAATTGCAAGGCACCCTATGTTTCTTAAGGAAATGCCTGCCTGTAGCCCCAGAGTACTGACAACATACACCATGGAGGAGTGTGGCTGCTTGTAATAAGGTACTGGATTTATATTATCTGGATTTCTTTCTCCATGTCTGTCAGATGTCCGGCATATTAACGTTTCTTTTGATATCACCAAGTGTCTTAGTGCAGGCTGCCATAATAAAGTACCTCAGGCTAGGGAGCTTAATTATGTCCTTAGAGGCCTCATCTCCAAATATAGCCACACTGGGGTTAGGGCTTTAACAGAGAATTTTGAGAATAAAATATTCAGTCCATAGTACCAAGGAATCATATGGTGGTAGACTCAGAAAAGTATATCATCATGTTTTCATTTGTCATCATATTATTACATATTTAACACCTATTGTCAAGCCTAGTAATTGCTAATTGAACCAATTTTGCTTAAAACCAGGTGACTTGTAGGAGTGAAGGGAATTTTCCTTCCCTTCTTCTGAGTATAATTTGACTCTATAAAGCAAACTGACAATAGGCAGAGTAACAGGAGAAAATGTATATGAATTTATTTCCATGCACAGGAGACACACAAAAGATGGGATTTAAAGAAAGGCCAAATGGTGGAAGTGTTTATACTGTACAGAAAGGAAGAAAGACTTGGAGTTCAGAGACAGGTTATGGGAGAGAGGAGAAAAGGCATGGTGAGCAAAGGCTGTCTTGTTATGCAAATGAGGTCTCTCAGGTAGCAGCTCTCAAAAAGAACAGATGGAATCTGGTGGTAACAGTTTCCCTATTAGAACTTCGATAGTGTCAAATATTTCCTAAGAGTTAATCTTTCCTAGTTCAGGATAAGGCTGATAAGTGGTCTTAGAGAAATCCTGTTTGCATCCACTGTTTACTTCACTGATGTACATTTCTTCTACAAGAGTTCGAGGCCAGCCTGGGCAACATAACATGACCCAATCTCTATTAAGAAAACATTTTTTAGAAAAAATTAGGTGGGCATAATGGCATGTGCCTATAGTCCTAGCCACTTGAGAGGCTGAGGCAGGAGAATCCTTTGAGCCCAGGAATTTGAGGCTGCAGTGAGCTGTGATCACAGCACTGTACTCTATTCTGCTGGGTAAAAGAGTGAGATCTCTCTAAAAAACAACAGCAAATAAACAAACAAAAAAATCCCATGATCTGGAGCAAGACTGGCTGAATTCCACTACCAGCTCCGCTAATTACTAAATGTGTAAATTTGGACATTCAAAAAATGTTTCTGTATCTCAGTTTCTGCATTTGTGAAGTAGAAATCATGGAGGTATTTACCTAACAGGATTGCTGCGAAGATCAAATAAGGGAATAGATTCCAGTGCGGAGACTATTTTCATATGCTAGCATATACAGAGTCAGTGCTATACATATGTTCATTATTTTTGTTATTGCTACTATTAACGTGAGAGACTGAGACTGAAAGTTTGAATTTTGCATAAAGAAGTTATTAATTTTATGGTTTTTTTCCTGTAGGTCAAACTTCATTTATTCAGTGCAACTTTTAAATCATTGAAATCAAATAGCAAGAAAAGTTTTGTGTTAGAATTTTAATATTAATAATAAATTACAAGAATTCTCATCAATGAATTGTGAATCATATAGTTTTATCTAATTATATTCCACTGATCTATAGTAATCTTTTTTGGGGTAGCAATAAATTGATTTTAAAAAAGGAGTCTTATAACCATATTAGCCAGCTGACAAGGACAGACACTGGTATTAAACACATTGTTTTCTTTTCTGAGAGACAAGGTCTTGCTCTGTCACCCAGCAGGCTGGAGTGCAGTGGTGTGATCATAGCTCACCGCAGCCCCAAACTTCCTGGGCTCAAGTAATCTTCTTACCTCTGCTTTCTGAGTAGCTGGAACTACAGGTATGCGCCAAGCCAGCTTATGTTTTTTTAAATCTTTTGTAGCGACAGGGTCTTGTTATGTTGCTCTGGCTAGTCTTAAACTCTTGGCCCCAAGGGATCCTTCTGCCTTGGCCTCCTTGGTTGCTGGGATTACAGATGTGAACCATAGTGCCTGGCCTAAAAACATATATATTATATATTTTAAATCTCACATGGATATTGATAGAAAATGGTCCCTATCTAATGAGGTTCACCTATGATTCCCTTACTGTTAGGAAAAACTTGTGCTGATAACCATAGCACAATGGACAGATTTCTGAGGTTTTCTCATTCGTTGGACAGAGTTTGGAAGAGAATTTCTGTATTTGTGTTTGTCTTTTTCTTCTGTGAAAGTTTTTTTTTTCTTTTCTTCTCTCAAAAGTGGATGTTTAGGTCCTCTATATATTAATGACACAGTATTCAAATTGCTTACTTGAAAAAGTTTTTTGGATTTGATAGGCATTAATCTATGTAATTAAGAATAGGGCTCTTTGTGTTTGTGTATATTTTTATTTTATTTATTTTATTCTAACTTAACTATTTTTATTCTCAGCCTTGGCCAAGCATTTCCCACTTAGCAAAGGACTTTATAGACAAACTACTGATTTTGGAGGCTGGTCATCGCATGTCAGCTGGCCAGGCCCTGGATCATCCCTGGTTGATCACCATGGCTGCAGGGCCTTCCATGAAGAATCTCCAGAGTGCCATTTCCCAAAACCTCCTACGGAAGGCCTCTCCTCACTCTCAGAGTCCTGGATCTGCACAGTCTTCTAAGTCACGATATTCTCACAAATCCAGGCATATGTGGAGCAAGAGAAACTTAAGGATAGCAGAATCACCACTGTCTGCACTTTTGTAAACAGATGATCTCTAAAACCATTTTAGCCTACTTTAGAACCATTTCATCATGATTAGGGCACCCTCAAGCTCCAAGGACATGGGACTCCGTGGTATTGTTGGATAGTGTTGACCTTGACTTTTAACATTTTTTGGTCTATAATTTTTCCTATACCTATATTCGTTTTCTCAAAGCATACTACTGCAAACGATAAATAGTAACTACTAGCTATGTTTAGACAACTGGAAACAATACATAGACAAAAAAATCTCTTAAGTATTTCATGGATTAAATATAATATGATACTATAGGAATACGGGACGTATATGTGAAGGCATGGCAAATCAGAGACATAGCAGGAATCGTTAGATATGGGGAATATATGTATTTATCCTGAAATTGCTGATGTTTATTTCAGACTCAGTGTACGGTGTTAATTAGATGACTCTCAAGGTAGTTATAAACGTCTGTTAATTTCATATTTAGTCTGCAAATATTTATAAAAAATTATTAGATATGGGGCCTATAAAGAACTCTAAGATATAGTTTCAATCTATCAGAAACTTTTATTTGGTCTAATTGGGGCACTATTCACTGGAAAAATAGGGATTTTTAAGAATCATAAAATAGTGATTTTTTTTGTAGTGTTAGCATTTATTAACCACAAGTGTTTGCAAAAAAATATGATCATCTTGCTTCTTATCACTACTGTCAACACTTTTTAGTATGCACTGGTTTCCTCTAGAATTATTTAATCAAATATCTTGATGACTTTAAACCCTCACCATGAAATAATTATAGGTAATGCAATGAAGAGGTAAGTTTCCAAACTTAGTTCTCTAGGCAAGGCACATATGGCCTGATCTCTTATAAAGTAAATTTTTGTAAAATGATATAAAGACTGAAATACTATTAATTACATCTGTGAGTCACTCATAGGAGTGGGTAAATATAGCAAATAAATGATTAACTAGTTGATATTACTTATTTTATTAAGTAAAATAATAAAATGTTAGAATGACATTTACAACAACTTTAAAAGTAGTTCTAATTTTTTCACTTTATTTTTCTCTTTTAGGCTATATAGATGGAACAGTTATATATCTCATATATAGATATGAATATGTAATTAGTGACAAAACTATTTTCTTTATAAGTTGTAACGCTGTATCACATAATATATGACAGGCCTGGGTTAATTCCTTTAATATAGACAGACACAAATTTATAAGAAAAATAATAGAAAAATGGGCAAACATTATGCTATGTGGTTTATAAACATAGATGGCTAATAAATACATGAAGAAAATGCTTAGTTTCATTTGTAATTTACAAATGAAAATTAAAATGACAAAGAAAATGAAAATCTAAAAGGCAAAGAATTTTTTGTACCTATCAGATCAAAACAATTTAAAACTTGGATACGATATATGGTGGAAGATTGCAGGCAGATACTCTCATGCCCTGCAGAGAGAGAGGAGTGCAATTTGTGCCACCTCAGGGCGTTGGGGGACAGTTTGGCAGTAATATCTACTCACATTAAAAATGCGTTGACCTTTGACCTAATTGTATCATTTATAGAAATTTGTCATACACATATTCTTGCCAAAGTGTGTATAAAACATTGTGCATAAGTGTATAAAACATCATTATTATATTAACAGGAGTCATAAATAAATGCCTATCAGTAGGAGAATGCCTTAAAGCATGTTACATTTAAGCGAAGACCTACTATGTAGCCATTAAAAATGTGATAGATCTTTAAGTTTTGTTATACAACATGTTATTGTGTTAGATGAAAAAGCAAGAAGCACAGAAGTATTATAGTATGATCTTCTTTGTGTGAAAAAATATGTTCAGAAGCTTGAAAGATTGCTAAGAATTTGATAAAAGAGATAGTGATTATTTCTGGGAAAAAATAAGTCTGGGGTGGGAGGGAAAGGTTTACTTTTCATTTTACACCTATTTCTACCTTAACATTTTAAAAAATTGATATATTTCAGCTAAGTGCAGTGGCTTACACCTGTAACCCCAGCACTATGGGAAGCTGAGGTGGGCTGATCTCTTGAGGCCAGGAGTTCGAGACCAGCCTGGCCAACATGGCAAGACCCCATCTCTACTTAAAATACAAAAATTAGCTGGGCATGGTGGTGCACACCTGTAATGCCAGCTACTCAGGGGGCTCGCTTGATCCTGAGAGGTGGAGGTTGTGAGCAGAGATCTCACCACTGCACTCCAGCCTGGGTTGCAGAGTGAGACCCTGTCTCAAACAAACAAACAAAATTGATGTATTTCTATTAAGTCTATAGTAAAAAGAAAACGCAGCTGCAAATGCAAGTGGCAAAAGGGAAACAACCTAAAAGCGAGAAGCTTGAATAAGCAGCCTCCTAGGAACTGGTGATTGACTAATCAGATGTGAAAACTGGCTCTTTTTAATTGAATATTTCACATATTTGCCACTTGAAGTTTTTAGAATACAAAAAAGCAGTCAAAATTTGTAATGCTAATACTTCCAGATTTCTTAAGTGATTAGAAAATCGCTTTCACATGCTGCCATGGTCATTTTATCCTAACATTTATTGAAAAGTTACTCTGTGCCAAGTACCATGCTAAGACCTTAACATATATTATTTCATTTGCTCCTCACAACAAACCTATGAGGTAGGAAGGTATTATTCTTAATTTGGTTTGTATCTGAGGAAACTGAAGCTCAGAGATATGAAGTAATTTATCCAAGATCATCAGTAGGTAAATAGGAGATTTGGAATCAGAAACTCAGAACTTTTCCCTTAATCTCTGTTGGATCATTTCCAAGAATTGAGAATGCAGAAGGCAGGTTCTGATGCCTTACATTTTGTCTATGCTGCCATAAAGAAACAATGCCGTACAATATTATGCTGAGTTATGGTATAAATATTTGTAGTTTGCATGGATAACTGACTTTCACCTTTGCCTGCGTAGGTTGCTTTGAGGTGGTTTTCTACCCACACCAGCCCTAAGGAGCCCGCCCAGCAGGCATCCTCAAGTCCAAGGGCAGGACGAGGTTATTGCTGGGCAACAAAGGATATTAAATGCCGGGCAAGGAGTGAGGTCTAAGGGAAGTAGGGCTGGGCTAGGAAGATGTTCAAGCCTCAGAGATCAGCAAAGGCAGGGAGTCTGTAATTTGGGGAGGCTGTCGGGAGCAGAAGAGACCAAAAGAATCTCAGATACATGCTCCAGGCAACCCAGGCTCCAGAACTTAGGTAGAAGGAAACAATTAGAAGAGGGGCTTGGCACTGAGTCAAAGATTTCTCAAGGTCAGAGTGCTTGTGTACGTGGTAATTGGGGGACCATTTGTGAGACAGCCTACAGGACGGAAGAATTGAGAGGTAGGTAGTGCCTCTTGACTCCTACCTTTTTTAAGTTCTCAAGGGCAGGGACCAGCTCTTATTTATGTTTGAAACCCCAGGATCTGGCAGCCCGAATATAGCAGGTGCTCAGTTAGTGTTGGACAATGAACTGTAGACTGGTCTCTGTATCCCCTTTTTCTCCCGCTTAGCAGCCAGAGTTCCCTTTGAAGATCCTCTAAATCACTTGCCTCTGTGTAGAAGGGTGAATGAGATGGGAAAGGAAGAGTGATGATGAGGGAGACAAGATACCTAACCGGATTTACACTGGGAATTTTCATTCATAGGAAAAAAAAACCTTTTATTTCCTGCTGAGTAACCCTGGGCCCTCGCTAAGAATCCTCCCAAACTTAAAGGCTTTTGAATGCAAGGTTGCAGTTGGGTAATTAGTTCTCTTCTCTCCAGCTTTTGTAAAGTTCTTACAAATCAACTCAGTTTGCTTTTTAACTGTCTTCCTAATAAGCTCATGGGTTCTCTCAGAGGCTTAGTTTCCTGTTATCTTGATTTGATGTGACAAGGAGCTTCTATGTTAGTTTATCCCCCAGAGTGGAATTCTCCCCACTCTCTTCCTACTGCAAACAAAACAGACTAACAAGCAAATCAACCAACCAGCCAATCATCTTACCCTGTAAATTCTACTTTTGAATAAAGAGATTTTGACAGTCCTACAAATTAGACATATCATTTAATTTATTGTGAACTCCTGGGAGAAAAATATATAAAGTAGCACTTCTTCATATACTTGACCCTATTCTACCATCCTCTGGTGAAATTAGGTATTGCAAATCAGTTTCTAAATCTGTGGGTAGTCTTTTCTTTATTTGATCAGGGTTAATATCAATAGAGTGAAAAGAACACTCAGTTTTTTTTATAATAAACATATTAAACATCACATTTTCTCTTCTTTTCCCCCTCCCCCTTCCCCCTCCCCCCCCCCCCCTCCTCCTCTCGATGCAGGGTCTTACTCCTATTGCCCAGGCTGGTATGCAGTGATGTGATCTCAGCTCACTGCAGCCTCAGCCATCTGGGCTTATATGATCCTTCTACCTCAGCCTCCTGAGTGGCTGAAACTACAGATACGTGTTACTACACCTGGATAATGTTTGTATTTTTAGTAAAGATGGAATGTCCCCACGTTTTCCAGGCTAGTCTCGAACTCCTGTTGTCAAATGATCCACCCACTTTGGCCTCCCAAAGTGCTGAGATTTCAGGCATGAGCCACCATGCCCAACCATGTTTCATTTTAAACTATTTTTCTTATTACTTTTATGGAATCACTTTTACTTATTTCCTAATAGGAAAAAACAAATGTCTCCTGAAAAGTAGTATAAACTTCTTTCATTGCTGTGTAGTAATCATCTAGGTTTTGTCTTGTATTATTATTTGTTCTGAGTTCTCTTACCCTAGTCTAGTCTCTCTCGCCCTTTTTCTGTTTCCCGGAAGCTATGTGATAGCTCGTTATCATCTTTGCCTGCCATATTTCATTTTTCATTTTTCAGTTTTGACGGTGGTTGTATTGAAACACAAAACGTGCACGTGTGCTGTCTCTTTATTTTCTTTGCCGCACAACCTGGCATTGGGGTTGGTGACTCTGATGGCCCGGGGAGTGGCTCTTTCCATGTGGCTTTTCAGTTCTGGAATAAAACATTGTGAGTGATCTCAGCACAGCAAGATCTGTTGTACATCAGCTGCACTTCCAGCTCCTTGACATTGTGGACCAGGAACTTCCCGAAGCCATAGGCAGCAGTATGTGCTTCTGTTGTTGCTGTCGTTTTTGCTCTCATAACCAGTGTTGGGCATCAAGATCTGGGCCTTGAAGTTTCTACAAACCATATTGTCAATGCCTCTGGGTTTCCCGTCAGTTACACTTAATTTTGACATGTGGGTCTGACTGGTGCCCGATGGACTTCTCGGTTCTCTTTTGACAATCTTGGGCTTCACGAGGGACCTGAGGACGGCCATGATGCCACAGAGAAGATGGCTGCCATCTCCATAGGCAGTGCTGAGGAAGATAGCTTTGCTTGCCATATCTTGAAAATGTTTAAAAGATCTACTTTTAAGCATTCTGTATATATGTTTATGTTGATGCCTGCTTTGAAGGGTTCTGTAATGTTTGGCATAACCTGTATGAAACTGAGAAATCGTGCTCACATGAGTTGTAGTTAGCCACTCTTTCATATTGTTGTATATTATACAACTGTGTATTTGCTACATATAAATAAGTGATGGGGAAGAGTGTATAGAATTCTGGAAAATTAAAACCTTTAGGCTAATGTACAAACACTTTCCATTTACTATGACAAATAATGAGTGATTTGTGCTTGGGAATTTTTTTTTACTTCTACCGCAGATGCGTTATTTATTTATTTTACATTTTATTTATTTATTCTTTGAGATGAGGTCTTACTATGACGGCAGGTTGGCCTTGAACGCTTGGCCTCAAGCAATTCTCCCACCTCGCCCTCCCAAAGTGCTAGGATTACAGATGTGAGCTGCCATGCCTGGCCATTAGGAGCTTTACTTTAAAAAGTCATTTTTGCCAAGAGTTAAATTCATAGAGGAAGGTTCTAAAACTTTAAACATGAACTAATACGAATTTCAAGCTTGAGACCTAAGGTGGTACATTAGATTTCTAGGGCTGCTGTGACAAAATACCACAAACCAGGTGGCTTAAAACAACAGAAATTCATTCTCTCACAGTTCTGGAGGCCAGAAGTCCAAGATCCAGGTATCTCCGGGTTTGGTTCCTTCGGGAGCCTCTGAGAGAGAATTTGCTCTGTTCTACTCTCGCAGCTTCCGGTGGTGGCCGACAGGCCTCGGTGCTCCATGGTGTGTGGCTGCCCCTTGTTTCTGCTTTATTCTTCACCTGGCTTTCTCCTCTGTGTGTCCCTGTGTCTTCTCTTTTTCTTTTATAAAGATTCTTATCATTGGATTTAGGGGTCCATCCTATTTCAGGATGATTTCATCTCTAGATTCTTAC